CAGTGGAGAGGGAAAATGAACAGTGATTCTGTTCTGAAGAGACAGTGCTTGCAGGAAAAGTAGCAAATTGTGTGTATGGGGGGTGGGGAAATGGCAAGTTCAATTTTCCATACATGAGACCAGTTTAAACTTCATCTCCCAGTGTTATGGTACTTCAGGCCTCACAGAACCACTCACAGTACCAACATATAAAAACAATGGATGAACTGTATTTTCAAATGCATACGGGAGTTGAGAGCCAAGGGGCAATGCCTCTTTCTAGAAACAAGGATGGAAAGCATAGTCAGAAGCATGGGGCTTACGATGGTGGTATGAGCAATCAAGCCAGACACAGGACAAAGGCTCGAAGTTTGGGTTGTAATTATCAGCTGGGCATCCCTCCAGTGAGCAGAGGTCTGTGATAGGGGGAGAGAAAGGAAGCCTCTCTCTCACTCTGCCCAGGAGTCTGTGGGAAGTGTTAGGACACAGATTTGCCTGAGGATTTAAAACTACAGCTCTCAACACGTGAGGGTAGTGGCAAGTTTCCCAAACTCAGGAGTGGAGAGAGGTCCTGTCAACAAAATACCTGTGGCTCTTAGCAGAAGAAAATGTGAAGTCACTCTACGGAATCATCCACATTCCCAGCTCTACAAGGCTCCCACAGGAAAAAACAATCCCCTGAAGATGAGCTCAGAGGTGAAAATGTTGGCATTTCACAAAAGAAAATAATGTATTATGAGAGCGACTCAGCAGAAACAAGAGGTAATTGAACAAACTGAAAGGCTATTAAGTCAACATGTTTAAATAAATTTAAGAGGATTGAGACTCATTAGAAACCATACTACACACAATAATAAAGTGGAATAAGAACAGGGAAATTTGAAAATAAAATCAATAGAATGTTAGTAATAAAAAGATGTAGTCATTGCAATTTAAAATTCATTTAAAGCTCAAACAGCATTTATACACAGGGAGATTCATGAACTGAAAGATTATATAAGGAAATAATCCAGAATTCAGCACAGAAAGAGAGAAAAAAATAGGAATATTAAATAAAGAATAAGAAATGTGGAACAGAATAAGATGTCTTCTTGCATCTAATTGGTGTTCTAAAAGGCCATAATAGAGTAAATAGTATTAAAAGATAGAACATCTGATAGTGTAGAACAGATGAAAGATGGAAATACTCTGGAAAAAAGCACATTAAGTCCCAAGTGGAATAAATAAAAGCAAATCCACAGTGAACACATCATAATGAAGCAGCTACATCAAATACACAGAGAAAATCTTAAAAGTAACAAGAAAAGAAAAACAACCTACAAAA